CGGTACTTTTTAGATTAGTGTATATGGAATTTTGAATTTCGTTTGCTGATTGATTAACTTTTAAGGAATTTTGAATTTCATTTGCTGATTGATTAATTTTAAGGAATTTTGATTCAACAGAGTTAAGTGTTCGAAGCACTTCAAGATGACCGAATGAATTCGACTAAAATTGGTTCTTTTATTCACTTAGTTACTGAAATTGGTTGATTAGTGACAGTTATTGCGTCATGCAACATTTTCCACCCGGGAGTGTTCCTATGACCATGACTTTACGAATGTATTACAATATGCCTAACTTAACCTTGTAATATTAATGATAATGGTTACAGCAAATTGTGAATTAGTTAGTTAGGAGGAATAAATAATATAAAAACCTTATTTAGTGCTTTCTTGAAAAGGTAAAACATTTTATCAAACGGAATAAGAAAATCATGTCTAAAAGGTTCTTATAAATAGGAACGGGGGTAGCATTTCTTAAGAGATTAATTGAGTTTTGTGGTAAACAAAACTTTTCGAGGGGTTGTAATAACATTGACCAAATAAAGGACTAGTGTCACAGATGCCGTTTATTTTTGTAAAACTATAAAAATTAGGAGAAAAATATTTATTGGAATTTGATTATAATAATGGAGAAATGTTAGGGAATATAGATAACCAAAACTAGGTGTTAGACCCGTCCGATGGATAGTGAACACATATACATAGACATTACTACACAAACAAATCAAAAAAATGTTAATATTTGTATAGATTTTTGTATTTTTATAAAATATATAATCAATTTATTAAAAACTATAAAACACAAACATCGACAACACTTTACCAAACAAATACACTGGTAATTTATTTAACGCAAAAAAATATTGTTAAGAAATTAAAAAAAAAAAGAACTTTGAATGAAATAATTATATATATTGCAATATTTCTTAGTAGACTATATTGGTAGTCTGGGGTGGAAAGGTCGGCTATGGTGGTTAAGAAATTATGATAAGGAATTTTTTTCTTTTTGAAAAGGTTTATGATAAGGAATGGTTACTACAGAAACAACAACCCTAACTTGTTGTAGATGCCATCCAATTCTTTTATAAGAAAAATTAAAAAAATAAAAAATGTTGGATATCAGTACCTTTATTCCTTGTTTCGGAGTAACTTTTGATTTCAGTGTTTTTATTTTATTATTTTCTTTTTTAAATATGATGGATTCTCACTTTCCTTCATTTTTATGTTTTAGCCTCATTTGTTCGTTTGATTTAGTTATTTCTCATTACCTATCTAATAATTTATCTTTAATTAACTTACCCGTTGTCAGAAATATTTTATTTAAAATGTGGGTGGGACTATTTTTTTATCCTTAAAGAATATCATTTACCTATTTTTCTTCTTTATTAATATCTTTCTAGACACTTTTGCAAATGTCAAATCCATCCTGCTCATTTTTTTTTCGAATTAAAGTTAGATTTTTTAAGAAAACAATTTTAAAATTTGGTTCAAAAAATCATAAATTTGCCACATAAGATTTAGTCATATTTATGCATGATACGATACCTTAGATTTTTCTCTCTCTGGAGTTTGCTTTACTATAATATATATATATATATATATATAGAGAGAGAGAGAGAGAGAGAGAGAGAGAGAGAGAGAGATAGACTTCTTTTCAGGAAAAAAAAGGAACCAAAAATTAAGAGTCCAATATTTAGCCGCATAGACCCCTTAATATTTATTGAAAACACGAAACATTTAGCAGTTACACACGATTAGACAAATAAATTTATCTTATTAAAAAGCACAAATATTTTTTTAGGAAACAGAAACCGGAATAAAAAAAAATTAAGTAGATAACCAATTCAACAATCACTGTACCATTGTTGGAATGTAGAGCGCATAAAAAATCTATGCAAATTTTCAATGAATGATGAGCACAACCTGAATTTGAAATTCATTACCAAGATTAGCGAAACAGAGGTAATAATCAAACTATTCTAGATTTCAAAACAAAAGACACCGTTAGAATCATGATTTCATCAGCATTCAAGAAGAACCATTTCGTCAGTATTCAAAGCCGTTTCTTGATTCCGTTTCTGCATGACAAAACAAACAGCATCTCAGCTATTTTGCTTTCTATCCATCTTCAGACCATTTTTGTAAGATCCCGAGTGTTGAGACCTCCTTACTTAGCGAGTAGTAGTTGATTTATGTATAAATTAGTATATTTATTTATTATGTACGTACATTTTGCCATTTAGGTTCAAGAAAGATAAACTAAAAATTTGAATTTCAAAACGTTAAAAAAAAAGAAGAAAGAATAGCCATAGTTGAAGCATTTTAATATTTTTATTCTTTGCCAGAGCCATTCTTATACCCGCTACATCAACCCATCACCATAGTATTTTAACCCAATTCCATATTTGAAGCTAAACTATAGAAGTTTCAGGTTGGCCTAACTTCTTTAATTATTTTAATCAATTATTAATATAAAATTCTTTTTCAGTTGTGTTTTCTTTAGGAGGAAGAGATCCGTCCATCGGATTTGCAGGGATTTGGTCGAATCAATATAGGGTTTGTATTTTTTCAGTTGCGTTTTTTTTTTTTGGTTTTTATTGTTTTGTTTTGTGCATTTTTATATCTAGAAAATTAAGAAAATGCCATGTGCTCCTTAACTTTAGATTTCTCTCTCTGGTTTTTGCCTTAATATAGTATATATAGATTCATGCGGTTGGAGCTAATCCTCTTGAGTTTAGGGATTGATTTTAGGAATTAATTTTTTCCCCTGATTTCATAAGGATTATTAATGTTAGGAATTAAATTTTTTTTCTTTGTTTTAGGTCGCAGAAGGATACCTTCTTTTGCGGCAAGAAAATAAGGTTTCCTTATTGGCAGCTGTTTTAAAATAGGTAAAAAGGATTAAAGATAGTAGTAACTATACATTCTCTAAAATTTTGTAAAACCTTACTTTTAGGGTTTCAGTTGGAACAAATAAAACCGAATATATAAAATCAATCGAGAGGGGAGCTAGTTAATGGGAAATTGTAGTACGTAGTTGTGCTGCCATCCGGATCTCCCAGAGGACGTGGTGAGGGAAATCTTATCATGGGTTCGGGCCAAACCATTATGCGACTCATGTTCGTGTCGAAACTCTGGCGATCAATCACTCAGTGATGATCCAGCCTTCGCCAAATTACATAAACATCGTGGTGCTTTCAGAGGCCTTCTTATTCCCAAAAGGGATTGGAGAAACAAATTTCACGCCACCGCACCCACGTTTATTATCCCTCTTGGGGCAGGGCGATGGGATACTTTTTTCGGATCATCAGGATTGGATGTAGCAACCAGGTGAATGGATTAGTGTGTTTCTACGAGGGAAACCGTTCCTACTTTCACAATATCGCCACCGGCGAAACCCTGCCACTTCCTCATTCCATTCCTGGATCTGCGGATTGCAGTTATTTTCTTGGTTTCAAGCCGTTTCAAAATGCCCAAAACATCCCTGAGAGATTCTCGTCTTCGGAGGAGGAGAATCATTGTCGTGGAGGAGCATTGATCCTCTTCCTCCCCCGATGAGGGATCTTGTAACATCATCATCTCCACAATGGTGGTATCGAAGCGCGTGTTACGATGGAGTTTTTTACTTGGACTTGGACTTGGACTTGTTCAATATCTCAGCTTTTGATCTTGCAAAAGAGAGTTTTATTTTATTGGTCTCCGCAAGCCGGAAAACTATTGGGCTTGTGCAAACTTATTATGGTTTTTGGACCTGCTCTGTCTCTACCCAGTTACGCTTCTAGCAATCCGCCTAAACCATGGGAGGTCAGGCAATGTCGTATCATCTCATTTCGTGGCAACGGTGGCCGTGTAGGTGTGGTCGAGCTAGCGACGGCGGCACCATCTTCTGAGCTCAAGTTTGAGCTTCGAAATGAGGAAAGATTTGAGTTCATGGGTATCCTGCCGGATGAAAAGGTGTTGATGTATGACATCATATTAACTACTGTTTATCTTCGTCCTAAGCAACTTACTCTTATTTGCATATGATCCATCCACCTCGGAAAGAGAAACATTGATGGTTCAAAAAATCAATGATGAGTCATCGGAGTCAGCTTGGGATTCATGGAAGCCGTCCGAGGAGTCAATGCAGTCCACTTCTTATTTTGTAGAGAATATCATCCCGCTCAGGTGTTTGATTCCATCCTAATATTTCTTAATAATAATAATTAAGCTAGATCGCTGCTAGTTTCGGGTTTTTTTTTTTTTTTTTTCTTGTGTGGGTTTTTCGGTTTGTTTAAGAGTTGAAGTTAGTACATTCTATATTTATTTTGCTTTGTAATTTTGAAGTTTATTGATCCAATTCTGTTTTTACAGAGTAAAATGTTAAAAAGTAGTTCTTGATGACAAATGAATTAGATTGGTTAATCATGCTTTGTCTCCCTTATTCTTTAAAAACAAAAGGCTTGATCCTTTTTGACACTCTTTGTGACTTAGCTACTGAAACTGGTTGCTTCGTTATTGCAGTCGTAAAAAGTATGGAGCGTCCTGAAAAGTATGATCTTTTGGTTTTTTCATATTAATTTTCAGTTAACAAGCATTCCTTCTGTCCCAAAATTAAGAATCTTGTCTGTTTGTGAATAAGAAGTATTGCTTCCGTCCTAAAGTAAGAATCACGTTGGTTGAATTATTTCAGCTAAGAACCTTATTTGGGAGAAAGTACTATAATGATCCCCCCCACATGGCATAAATTAAGGCTTTTTGGTGACTTCAGTTTAAAAGGAAACGGATGCACCATTTCTTGAGTAAACTCTTCACCGCCCCCTTTTTTCTTGTATATTTTCTTCCCTTTAATTCCAATGTAGTAGCTTCTACATGATTTTCAAGGTTGATTAAATCATATTCTTCTGTGATCTCCAGCCTTCCCATCGATTAGTTATTTGATCAGTACTTGTATAAAATTATCAGATCATCCTCTGTATTAGAACTGAGGAACATTTTCGTTTGATAATGTACTGAAGCCAATGGCTAAGGTAGTAACCTCTGAAGTTGAAAGAAGCATTTCCATCTCCTCCAACCCAAAAGACAAACCTCATTACTCCAAATTACAACATCAACATTCTCGAAGATCACCATTTTGCCACTTCTCACCTAAGCTCTCTGTTTACATCCTCATCACTTGCGGCATCCTATTCATCCTCTTCCAAATCCAATCCTTAAAAATCCCACCCATTTCTCCATCACTCCCACCCAACAACATCAACCCATGGAATTTCATGCACAAGTTGCAAAAAGTGATCAACATCAGCAACGCAACGCTGGCGGCTGAATCCGAGCGATGCAACCAAGAACTCAATTCCCTGTCCTCCAAACTCCGCGACGCCGTCACTTTTCTTCCTCTCAAAGACTTGCGATTCTCCAGCTCGGCGCAAAAGGGCCACACATGGTTCATGAGTTCAATGTACGATGCACACGAAGAAGGCGAAGTCCAATACCAACAGTTTCCATCTGAATCATCAAAAGGTAGGCTTTTGTGCCTTAAAGGTAAAGATACACATGAAGGTGCATGGAATTCATATGCTTTAGCTTGGCCTGATTCGTTACCTTATAACGCTACCTTTATGAAAGGGCTCACTTTTGTATCATATAATCATTATAACTATGATAACATCTGGCATGGATTATCAGCCATGGTTCCATTTGTAGCTTGGCACATTAAGAACAAATGTGAACTGCCAACCAGATGGGTTCTTTACCATTGGGGTGAATTGAGGCTAAAAATGGGGCCTTGGTTGAGAACTTTAATGGAGGCTACATTTGGCGAACCGCTTTATATCGAAGATTTCCACCATTTTGAAGATAATAACAGTGATGATGATGATAGTCCGGCTTGTTTTGAAGATGCGGTTGTGATGAGGCATAACGAAGGCGGGATGTCGAGGCAGAGGAGGATTGAAGTGTATGATTTGCTGAGATGTAAGGCCAGGAGTTATTGTAATGTTAGTAATGAAGGGAGGAGTTGGGATGTTGATGGAAAGGGAGTTCCGGTGATCGGAATGACTATGTTCATGAGGACCGGTCCGAGGTCATTCAGGAATGATTCTGTTGTTATTGATATTTTTCAGAAGGAATGTAAAAATGTTGAAGCTTGCCAATTCAGGGTCGCTTACTCCAATAATCTCACTTTCTGCGAACAGGTCAGTTTCTGCATTGCATACTTCCCAGTACATTCTCTTGCTTTTCGATTCTTAGTTTTGATTAGATCCAAGGCATAGAGGTATGCATAATTTCAATTCAAAACGGATACCAATTTGTCGAGTTGTGATGAATGTGGGAGTGATTTTCCTTGATTACATTGTCTGATCTTTACTCTTTCCCTGTCATCAAAAGTAGAGCAATATGTTGCGTAATCTTTAATCCCGCCATGGGGAAATGGAATACTTGATCACATTGGCTCTGCAATCCCAAGCGCAGAGAATTAAGTATTCCTTGAATTTTACAGTATTCAGTTGACTTCCCTTCTTATGGCAGATCTTATGGCAGAATGGAAATGTGCATTGCACTTTTACAGTATTTTGAGTAAAACTCGTAAATGTTACTCCATTAATGTCAGAAGAAAGTCTTCTGTATTGTATTCTTTTACTTCAACAAACATATACTTCCTGTGTTCCAAAATTATTGTTTAGTTTGAGATTACACTTTAAGTATATTTTAAACTAAAAATGAAAACTCAAACGGGACAATAATTACGGGACGGAGGGAGTAATTTTTTTCGGGAACAGGATGGGTTCTACTTTCTTCTGAGTGAGGGGGGAAAGGTTACATGGTCAATATTAGATTCTTAAGTTTCCACATGATCATAAGTTAGCTTAATTGTGCAATTAATTTTACTTACTGTTTGAAAGCAATATACATGTTGTTTTTTTATGAAGAAAAATATGGTTGCAGGTGAAGCTGATGAGTTTGACAGATGTACTAATATCTCCACACGGGGCACAGTTAACAAACATGTTCTTCATGGATAGAAACAGCAGCGTTATGGAATTCTTCCCAAAAGGGTGGCTAAAACTTGCCGGAGTTGGACAATATGTGTACCACTGGATTGCTGCCTGGTCCGGGATGAAACACCAAGGTGCCTGGCGAGATCCCGACGGCGAAAAATGCCCTTACCCCGAAGATGACCGGCGGTGCATGAACCTTTACAAGGGTGGCAAAATTGGCTATAATCAGACTTATTTTTCAGATTGGGCTAGGAATGTTCTTAATGAGGTTAGATCGAGGAAGGTTGAGGAAGCCTTAATCTTGAAGAACAACAGTGCCACAAATACTCTTGGTAGCATTTGTACTTGCAATTAGACTTATATTTTTTATGATAGATTCATAAGTATATTTTACTTTGATGATATCCCTATAAGTACAAGTTGGGATCATTTTATTTTCGTTGAGCCAAATTCTCAATCTGAGTTCACCAAATTATGAAAGATTAATCAATAAAATTGTGGATCGTTATATTCATTATAGATTTGACATTTGAGCTTGCTTATGTTTTCGAACACAGTATTTTTTTTGTTAAATGTGAACGCGGTATTAATTACTCCCTCTATCCTACAAAAATAGTGCACATTGAATTTTAAATTTTGTACTGTTTTTACTACAAATTTAGAAATTATTCCCTCTATCCCACAAAAATAGTGCACATTAAATTTTAAATTTTATACTGTTTTAAGTACAAATTTGAAAACTCAACGTAGACTTTTTTTTTGAAACGGAGGTAGTATTTCATTTATTCTAACGAACTAACGATAACATGTGCGGTGTCAACACTAATGAAAAGTTGACGAGTTTTCAATAACACACTATTCTCTTTATTTCTCAAAATCTTTTGATCTTCCACAATGATTTGTAAACTATAGGTGTAATATAATTACCACATCTTTTTTTTTTTTTTCAAATTTTTTCAAAAAAAAATTGAATGGTCCCAGCGCAAATCAAATCCTCGACCTCCTGATAATAATCATCCCTCGTCCTAATTCTCTAACCACCCTGATGGATCGATGCTGCTGCTTTCTGTGGCAAAAGCTACCTGAAGAAACATTTCCCTGCTTTTCAGTTTCATCATTGGTCACGTAAAAAGAAGGAAAAGAATGTACAGTAGTAGTACTTCTTTATGTCTACGAAATTGATAGTTTACTTCGTTAGAACTATCTTCTTCTTCTTCTTCTTCTTCTTCTTCTTCTTCTTCTTCTTCTTCTTCTTCTTCTTCTGGACTAAAGGGTTTTATTTTGATGGTGCCCATCTCAGTAATGTAATCATTTTTGCATGAATTGAACTCGAATCGCTATCGATTTGAATGATGAAAGTCATCGAGTATTTGACTTGGGAATATGTTTTGGTATTAGCTTTTGCTTTTAATTATTGTTATTTATTTTAGGCTACAAATTATTGTTAATTTTTGTGGGGGGTGTCGTATAGTATTTGGTCTATTATCTTCACCAATAACAAAATCAGGCCCATACAATAAATGTCTCAAAATGAGAATGAAGCATGGATGGACTTTCATGAGGAAGTGGCACAAGGCAGGTGCACATTAATCTTCCCCCACGTGCTTCAATGCCTTGTTTGCTGGAATTTCCTTACGTGGTTTTTTCTTTCTCTTTTTGTTATTGATGTTGATAGAAATTTAAATACTCTCTGTGTTCTAAAATTATTATTCCAAAATTATTGTTCGATTTCAATTTTAGTACAATTTGAATTATGAATAAATGAAAATTCAAACTAGAGAATAATTATGAGACAGAGGGAGTACTATCAATGTAGTTATAGTGGTAGACATTAATATTTTGTTTTTTTTTTTGGGTGCAATTGTAACATTTCGATAATCAAATTCGGTCGGCATGAGTGTAAAAGTATCGAGAGAATCCTTTTTTAACACAATCATGCAAGAAAGATAAACCTCAAGTTTATTACTATCGTAAGAACGGACAATGCTAAATAGTCAATAGTATAGCGGATAACAAACAAAAGTATGTAAGCCAACCCAAGACATTTTAGAACACTTGAAATTTACATTACATCTATGGATTGGTGCCGGCTGATAGAGGAATGAGAAATCAATTGCTTTATACTAATTTCCCTTCTTTTTTTTTTTCCCAATTCAAGATGTAGGGCCTTGCTTAAATGTTCGGCTTGAAATGGTGATTATTTAAGTAGGGGTGTCAATACGGGCGGTTCGGGTGAAATTCGATTTGGGTTAATTAGATTTTTCTTTTCACAAAACCCGATCGAAACCGAACCGCCAAATTCAAGAAACCGAACCGACCAAATAAATTATCGAGTTCATTGGATCGGGGCCCATCACCCGCATAACAAGTTTGGACATTTTTTTCCCAAAATAAAGCAGAAAAAATCCACCTCCTATGGCTTCGTTCCCGTCACCACAAAAAGCTATTTCCCGACAAATTCATCTTTCACCTTAACAATCACCATATCCACACAATCCATCTCATATCAGAATTCAAAACCAAATTTCATTTCAAAGCAATCGCCAATCAGAAACAGATCTGTTAAAAATCAGAAATCAGATGGGCAACGGAGAAGGAGCCTTGATTTCTTAGATCTGTTAGAAAGCGATGAGGAGGAGCTGCAGTTCGCTTGTGCAGCAGTGGCGAGGTTAGAACGGGTTGATGAATGGAGGAGGTTGATGGTGGCCCTGCAACTGATTTCGAAGTCCTCGGCAGCATTAAAGGGGAAGAATCGGTGGGTGGTGGAATTGTCGACAGAACGGTTAAAAGATTATGAAATTCTTGTGATGGTGACCAGATTCAAGCTTAGATTAATAGAATGAAATTGAGGAGATTGAGTCAGTTTGATGAGGTTGAGCCTGTTGGCTACCAAGAAGAAAATGAATTTTGAGGGCTACAAATCTTCTTATTTTCTTAACCCTAATAACTTAACATATATATATATATATATATAAACTAATAATAATAATAATAATAAAGGTTAGTCGGGTTTTCGGGTGGTGCCCGAAAATTTTTTTCCTAACCCACACCCGTACCGAATAAAGTATGCGGTTAATCGGGTGAAATCGAAAATACCCGAATTCATCCGATTAACTGAACCGTTTGTTCCGAAATGAATACGGTTCGGGTGGGTCTTCGGGTTGACCCGATTAACTGACACCTCTAATGGTGATTTATGGTCTTTAGCCTAATGCATGCATGTGACAAGTGGCATCTCGGGTGGAAGGACCATTATCTAACTCCAAAATTTTGTTGATACGTTTTTACCGCTTGAATTGGACGTATTAAATTGAACATGGATTATTCGAATAATAATTTCAAGCGGATTCAAGACGTCAAAATAGTAGGGGCCAAAGGAAACGAAAAAAAAAATTCTGGGCGAAATGTATAAACTTTTTTGGGGTACATAATTTATACTTCCTCCGTCCTAAAAAAAAAATAATCCACATTGAATTTTGAATTTCGTACTATTTTTAGTACAAATTTGGAAACTCAATGTGAATTATTTTTTTGAAACGGAGATAGTATAAAACTTTTATCCCCCTTTGGCCCCATGGATTGAATGTTCATTAATTGTTCCGTTTATAATTAATAAGGGCCTCCACCAATGAGTTTGAACTCAGAGTCTAGGTATAATATAGTATTAAATATACAATTAAAAATCTATAAATTAATACTGTTAGGATCCCAAAAAATTATTAAATTATCGATGTATTAATTTATCGATAAATTAATAATTATTAATTTATCGATGAAATAATAATATTAATTTAAAAAAAATTCCAAAGAATCCTATTAATCTTTTAAGCTTAGTCGTATAAAATTTATATTCTTTTATTCCCTTATATCCTATATATATTAGAATTTAGACTCCACCATCATCTTAAATTTTTTCACCTACCCAATCTATCTAACATGCATTTATAAAAAGAGATTCGATATTTTTCCGGGTTATCTTTAATCTCCCATCATTGGTTCGATACATCATTCAAAAATTCATAACATCTACAATTTCTTTATATATAAATTTCAAAAAAAAAAACAAACATCGCTAAATTCATATTTTACTAGCTCATTTTTTTTCCAAGTCATTAGTATTGATATTGACAGGACCTATATTTACACTTATAAAAAAAATTATTATCTTATTATTTTATCGATTGTCTGTATTTTTTTGTATTAGTCCCGACTTGAGACCGTAGAAAATTATTAATTTATCGATGTTATTAATTTATCGATGTTCTACTGTACTGTACTACGGAGGAATTAAATCAAGGGCTAATCTCTCAATTAGTTTTCCAAGATGTTTGGGGAAGAACAAGAAACTATCCCATCAGATTGAGATTATTCACCCCCACTTTGCACCACTTGCTCCTAACAAAATTAGGTGTAGAGTATAGGCCATCAACTCATAAACTAGTTATTTATCAACTTTATTTGTTTCATTGTTTGATTAAATTTGTACCAACGTACATTAGTTAATGATTATCTGTGTGCCCAGTCATGTAGTACGCAATTTGTACCCTCATCATTCTGATCATGTCCTAACTTACATGTATTTTCTTCTTTGGAAATGAAAGAATCAAAACAACCCAATCTCTACAATAATGGACACAAATTGTCTTTTCTTAGTACTAATTTCTTTGGTTTTACATGCTGTGTTCTGTACATTAGAATAACTGTTTCTTTTTCGCCCATGAATTGAAAATAGTAGTTTAAAAGGGAAAAATTTATTATAAACAATGGTGGAGCTAGGATTTCATGAATATAGGGGTGAAATGACCAAAATTTCAGTTTGTATGGGCAAAAATACCAATAAAATTTCATTTTTACTAAATTTGAAACTATTGTTTTAGAAAAAAAATTTCCGCGAAGAGGGGGCGACCGCTGTTGCTGGTCCCCCTAGCTCCGCCACTGATTATGAAACCAATGATTGATTGAGGAAAATGTATTTTAAATACTCATCCACATGAATTAACATTTTGGTCCCACTAAAGCTTACATTTTCTTTTTGCTTTAAATGATTCAATATTCATTGAGCTTGATAACCTCATAATTAACTCGCTCCTTGCTTCGGGGTTATATATAATTATGATATGTGTTTGTTTAAAATTCTTTCATCGTTCTGGTGTAAAATTAAGTAAGGAGCAAGATGTATTAGCAACCTTTTTCTCTTCAGCTTCAATTATGATAATTAATCACAAAGTGATGGTCCAAAATGGTGCATGGGTCATGCATTAATTGTTTCTGACTAAAATCTCTTGAGTTCCAATTATTGAGTTCTCTCACACATAAAGGAGCCAAGCAGACAAAGACTGGACATTTTAGTTTACCAATCTTTCTACACACTTCTTTCTTCACTTCAGACTTCATACACAAAACATAATGTGCAACCCTATGGACCCATTTTACCAAACTCATCCAATGGTAATTTCAGAAAGATACCATTTGCCCATCTGATTTTGGTGGTGGACAAATTTCCAGTTATCTCCAGCAGACATGTTTCTAACCATTTGCCTTCCCCAGTACAATTATTTGGCATCTCCAGTTCAGTTGATTGAAGATCTCACTGGAACAGATCCACCCAATTAAGATTGGAAAATGCTACTGATCACAACTCACAAACCTAAAAATATAGTGACTGATGTGATAACCAGTAATAATAATCGCATTGCCTCTTGTATAAGAAACTTTTTATAACTGAGTTATTTTTCCATCTCCATTTAGCTATCCTTATCCCAATTATGGCCTGCCATTTGGATTCTTGCAGTTTGTGGAAACTATTTACACCTGATCATGTCTCTTCATATTTTGAATAATCCCTTTCATCAAACCAGAAAAATGAACCAAGGTATTAGTGCTTATTATACCAAGTGAAAGGTAACGGTGACGGACAATGAAATATTATCCTTGATTTGACAATGAAAGCTTCTCTTATCAAGTTGGTCTTACTTCGTGCAATTTGTTCTTTGAAATCGGCCCCAACACCAACACCATTAGTGTTTCTGGTAATCCCACATTTAATTTGTACACCCCACTTTTAGAAAAGACAAATTAATCAAATCTTAATCCGACCATGAAGAAGCTTACATAGTAATACCAGAACCAAAAAGATTTGACTTTAATTTGTGCCCCAGAGGCTCAGAATAAGTTGCAGAGTGAGTGATTAATGAACTTGGAGATATTTCTTGGCTGTGGATATTATTCCAGGAAGCTGAAAGCCTGAAACTGATCAAAATTCAAAAGTGGTCCAAGAATGCGATTTTTTTTTGCTGATCAGAGAATATTACAGTGCAGTGGCTGTAAACTTAAATTCCAGCAGAATGTTAAAAGTGAATGCTGTTGCAAAATGGACAGAGTGATGGAACATTTTTTTTTTTTTTTAACAGGATAGCTTTAAATAATGCCAAAAATTCCAGTTAGAGCCCAGAAAATCTCTTCACTTTTTCTAGCTATTTAAAGAAAGTAATCCTAATTGTTGAGGATCAAATCAAATCAAAATGAACAAATCAAGTGCTACAGAAAACAGTAAACGGTGTGCCCATTACAACCCAGGCTGTAGGAGCCTTTTGAAAACTCTTGAATAAGCCGACAACTAAGAGATAATTCCAAGCATCCCCCATGTGGGATTCTTCTTCCTTTTTTCTTCCTACTTACACTGCTACTTTAGCTGCTGCTGCTGCTGCTCAATTTACACTCAACTCTGTTTCTGAACTGAACTTTTTTTCTTCTTTGCTCTTCATATTGAGCAAAGGCACATAATCTGATAAAGTTCAATCTGAAGTTCTCAGAGCTTCTTGAACTAACCATGTGGGAATCAGAAAGTGATCCTGGTACTGGGAGGGATTATGGCAATGGACATCTCAGTGCAAGTAAGCATGGTCTGAAAACTGATGGTTTTGAGCAAAGAGGCCAATCTTGGTAATCTTTTCTCCCCCCACAATCATTTTGCTGAGATCCCTGTTCCTCAAATTCTATCTTCATGTTATTTAATGTTTTCAGTTAAAGCTACAGTTAAAGGCAATCTTTGTAAATGAGAACAAAAATTATGTAACAGAACTGAGTAAAATGGTAAAAGTAAGCTAATCAGTCTCTGTGTGCTTGTCCTGCAAATAGGTATGTTGCCACTGATATCCCAAGTGACTTTTTAGTACAAATTGGAGATGTCAGTTTCCATTTACATAAGGTACCTACCTATTGACCCTTTTTTTTCTTTTGTTGTACCTGTGATTTTTTTTCAGACAGTAACACTGACATATATAACTTCAGAGAGTTGATGAACTGACTGTTATTCTTCTCCTATTTGTCTAGTACCCTCTGCTTTCTAGAAGTGGGAAACTGAATAGAATCATATATGACACAAGGGAAGACCTGAAGAAGGTAGTTTTGGATGATCTTCCTGGTGGACCAGAGGCTTTTGAGCTTGCAGCCAAATTCTGCTATGGGATTGCTGTTGATCTGACAGCAACCAATATCTCTGGCCTTAGATGTGCAGCTGAGTACCTAGAAATGACTGAGGATTTAGAAGAAGGCAATCTTATATTCAAGACAGAGGCTTTTCTCAGTTATGTTGTTTTATCATCATGGAGGGACTCCATATTAGTGCTCAAGAGTAGTGAGAAGCTGTCTCCATGGGCAGAAAACCTCCAAATCGTGAGGAGGTGTAGCGAGTCTATAGCGTGGAAAGCTTGCGCCAACCCAAAAGGAATAAGATGGCAGTATACTGGGAGGCCACCTAAAGTTTCTAGTCCAAGTTGGAATGAGATTAAGGATTCCAGCCCAAGCAGGAACCAGCAAGTTCCCCCAGATTGGTGGTTTGAAGACGTGTCCATTCTCAGGATCGATCACTTTGTGCGCGTGATTACTGCAATTAAAGTGAAAGGGATGAGGTATGAACTGATTGGAGCAGCAATAATGCATTATGCAGCTAAATGGCTCCCGGGATTAATAAAGGAAGGATCAGCAGCAGCAGCTGATGATGCAAGCACATACAGCGGTCATGATATGAGCATGAACAGCAATTGGAAAGGAGGGCTTCATATGATTGTGGCAGGTACAAAAGAAGATGTACCAAATGTGCAGGCCAAAGATCAAAGAATGATTGTTGAGAGCCTCATCAGTATAATTCCTCCCCAGAAGGACAGCGTTTCTTGTAGCTTCCTTCTTCGGCTTTTGAGAATGGCAAACTTGTTGAAAGTAGCTGCTGCCCTGGTTACTGAATTGGAAAAAAGAGTTGGAATGCAGTTTGAACAGGCAACATTGGCAGATCTTCTCATTCCTTCCTACAACAAGACTGACACAATGTACGATGTCGATCTTGTTCAGAGATTACTGGAGCATTTCCTAGTCCAAGAACAGACAGAAAGTTCAAGTCCTAGTAGACAATCATTTCCAGATGTATCCCAAAGAGGGGCAAACCCAAATGCTAAGATGAGAGTGGCAAGGCTAGTAGACAGCTATTTAACGGAGGTGGCCAGAGACAGAAATCTCTCACTAACCAAATTTCAAGTCCTTGCAGAGGCGCTACCTGATTCAGCTAGAACCTGCGACGATGGCTTATATCGAGCAATTGATTCCTATCTCAAGGTAATTGGAATCTAATCTAAAGCTTTCAAAATGGTTACCTCTTCACATCTGTTCTTCAAATCCACCTTGTCTGCTTGCATTTGGTTACTAGTCATCCTCATTTTTTTCAAACAATGACAATGCTGAAGTCAGATGACCATATTATTAAGGTTAATGAATGATGTACATGTGTATACCTTGTCAAAACAAGCTTCACAGCAGTATATTTGTATCACCTAAGTTCAAGAAATCAAAGATAATCATGAATACAGAAGAAACAGGAAACAAAAAAACTTGGAGGTGACGTTGAAAATTTTCCATCCTTAAGTAATCATATACTGAAACGTGCCAGTGCATTTTTGTTATATTCGCTTTAACTTTGGATACAATGACATGCATTTTGTAGGCTCATCCAACACTTTCAGAGCATGAAAGGAAGAGGCTTTGTCGTGTGATGGATTGTCAGAAGCTCTCAATCGATGCATGCATGCACGCTGCTCAAAATGAGCGACTCCCTCTCAGAGTTGTAGTGCAGGTGCTCTTCTCTGAACAGGTAAAAATAAGCAACGCCATAGCCAACAACACCCTCAAAGATGCTGGAGATTCCCTCTACCAGCCCATGGTGACAAGCCGTAAGACATTGCTTGAAGGGACGCCGCAGTCATTTCAAGAAGGATGGGCAACAGCCAAGAAGGACATCAACACACTCAAATTTGAGCTTGAAACTGTCAAGACCAAGTATGTCGAGCTCCAGAACGAAATGGAAACTCTACAGAGGCAATTTGATAAGATGATGAAGCCGAAGCAAACATCAGCATGGACTTCAGGATGGAAGAAACTAGGCAAGCTTACCAAGATGACAACTTTGGAAAACCATGATGAAGTATCACAGATCCCGAATACAGAACAACCCAAACGGGCACCTCGAAGGTGGAGAAATTCTATTTCTTGAGACAAACTTTAGGAGTCAATGACACATGATATATTTCACTCACTCTTTCATTTTTTCTTGAAAGTATTTCAAAGGTTTTTCCCCCATCTAAGCTATTTTTATACTAAGTTGAACCGATTCTTTTTCTGTACGTTGTTTATCTGAGGAACTAGATGTGTTTTTTCTACATTTTTTGGGAAAGGGCTTTTTACATTGCTCATCTGATGTTGTACCTTGAACTTTCTGTCTCTGTGGTGGTGGAATTTAAATTACTTCATCCGTCTCTGTTGTACCCATCAAATTATCTTCTTTTTTTTCAAGAAAATTATCAGAACTACTTAGTGCTGGAGTGTAGACATGATGAATCAAGAAGAAGTCACTGAGATATTGAAATAAAAACCCACTACTAAACAGGAACAAATATCAAAAAGAAGGAAATAGAAAGTAAGACAATATTGATGAGAAACAAGTTTCAAGGATCTTAACCAGTTTTATTGTAATGATGTTTCAAAATGGCAGTAACACATCAACTGTTTACCATAAGCCACTTATTACATCACAACACAAACACACATAAAACCAGAAGCTATAGCCTACTGGGTTTGCAACACTTCAATCTCGAACTCCAACACAGAGTTAGGCTGGATACCCCATGCAGGAAATCCACCAGGTCCATAGGCGTAATCAGGAGAGCACTGCAAAAATTGAATTATTTAATGTATGAGAAACTCTGGTGGTATATTCACAACAAGTTATAAATAAATACAGCCTTAAATAACTGGAATCGTTACCGATCAACAAGTTAAAAACAGTAATCAAAGTTAATGTCGAATAAAGTGAGAACCGTAGGGGTGGATTATGATATGTTCATAGGAGCCAATATTTTGTTAACCAGCTGCTTTAGCAAGTTATACATGTTCCCGATATTCAATTGTCCTGCTTACTTCAATCCCAATTTCCTTCACCCAAGCTTTCTTTAGAGGGATCTATCTTGTTACAACTTCTTTTGTTGTCTCTTAGACCATGACAATCTTTACTAGACATTCACCTTTTTTCAGGGCCATCCAGATTATACTAAATTTGCAAATAATTAATGAGTAAAGAACTTTCACTATACCCGTAGGCGAGCAACTTCTCCTACTTGCATTCCAAGCACACCTTCGTCCCATCCTACAAGCAAACAAGCAACACGATTGAGAAGTGAAAAATCCTCCAGGGGGGGAGATCCAGACAGGACAGATGACTAAATGATGTTAATGATTGTCGCCATGGCTCAAATAGGAAGGGAAAAAAAAAAACAAATTAAAATAAGGAACATAGCCCACGGCTAATGACTTGGTCATATAGAAACACATCAAGGCCCTTGTATCAGATATCTATAAGATAAAATGTGCATTACCAAGGCACCAACTTTCCAGCTCTGGTAGATAAAGGTAGTTTCATTACAATAGCTAACTTCAAAGCCACAAAATTCATTATCCTTTGATGAAATAGAGAAAGATTATATCCCTAAAGCTTGTGTTTCGGCAGGTTCGTGTGCATGTGAGCATTGAAGCAGAGTAATTCCAAAGGTGATCTAGTGCTACAGTTGGTTCCACAAAGTTTATCTATCATTTCATGCTCACATAGAGACTCTGTAATACTAACAGAGCCAGCTTCCACTTCAAGGATCAACACGAAAGCAAAACGTGGTTAGCTTATTAGACTCGGATCGAGGGACTGCAACCAATGAACTATACAAAATTTCCATCTTTACCCCCAAAAAATATTGTCCCTAGGCCTAAGTCCTAACCAAATTCAGCCGATTAGTCTCCACTAAATTTCACACAGCTACTGGAAAATTGAGGTAGTAAACGAAATAGGGACACAAGAAGAACACTGGAACATCTTACCTTTGATAACTTTCCCCTGTCCAATCTGAAAAGAGAATGGCTGCTGCCCAGGATCCTTGGTGCTGTAATTAACATTGCATGAAAGAAAAAGGGAGCAAATAATCAAAATTACTAACCCCAAAAAATGAAAAAAAAAAAAAAACATAAATTAAGAACTAGATACAAATCAAGACATGGAGTATATATTTACCTCCAGAATTTCTTAGACAGATCACCATTCTTTCCTGAAAATAAAGAATAAGAAAATAAAATTAAAATCCCAAAATTCACCAAATCAAAAAACGGAATTGATAGGCAATTCGTGGGAATTAGAGAGTGAAAAATCAAAAGCAGAAGATCAAGCAAAGGATAACACACCAAAACCAGTGCAGTGAACAGTAACCGTCTGACCAGGAGCCGGTTTGGGTCCAGTTCCTGCTCTCAACAATTGCTTCTCCACTCCCATTTTTTGCTTCTGAAATTTCGAGTAATTTCGATATACAAATAGGGTTTTACTGCTTTTTTTGAGTCCTGCCTCGAACCAGAAGATACTTATTAAACCCCGACGCGTGACTTTCACGCTATATTTTAGTGAAAACATATAAAAATATGCTTTTTTTAAAAAAAATATTCAGATCCTCCTTTTTAATGATTTTTTTTCAAGTGCAAATTGGTTAAAATTATCCTTCTTTTATGTTTTCTTTCTAGGGGCCAATTTTTAGGGCCAAAAAGAACACACATTTGACTTTCTTTTGTTGGATCATCCAACCATGATTGACAATAAGAAATAAGGGGGGAAAAACCTAATAAAAAAATAAAAAACCTACAAAAAAAAGAAAAACAATTAAAATAAGATAATGCAACCGCATAGATATCTTCTACTCCCTCGTCCCCTAAAAAATATAGTCTACATTGAGTTTTATGGGTCGAAGGGAGTAATTAACTACTCTCTCACTATCACTTTCTCTGTTTCAAAATGATTGTCATAGTTTAAATTTTTATTTTTTAGCTCAAATTTATACTAAAATAAACATCAAAATTGTACAATCATAGAACATGAGAGTACAAATTTCAATCTAAAAACATGCATAATTTTTTTTTTAATCGTTAAAAAAAGATGTGCTTTTATTGTAAAAAAATAAAAATCTAAATTAGACAACTATTTCAGGATAGGGAGAACATAAATTTTAATCTAAGAACATGCGGGCTGTTTTCAAATGACCAACAAAGGGTGTTTTATTTTATTTTTTTAAATACATGTTACACAATCCGAAGATATTACTATGATTAATCGGAATTGGAACCAAGTCCGTCCTTTTTGAGCTCTCCCCAAAAAAATTTTAATCATTATTTTCAAATGATTAATAAATTGTGTTTTCTATATTTGAAATGATTAATAAGTTTAGTCTATAGTTAAATAAACAATCATCGAATTCATCACCTTACACGATTTTATCTAATTTCACCACACTCGCAAAACTTTTACTTCATTCTTATAACCACATACTTTTGAAAAGCACTCTCTGTCCCCCAAAAAAATTTCACATTGAATTTTAAAATTTGTACTTTTTTAAATACATATTTTTAAAATTTAATATGCACTATCTTTTTGAGATGAATGAAGTAAAATAACTTATTTAAAAGATGTGAAACAATAAAGAAAAATAAGGAGAGCTCGAACTCCTACCAATTAAGAGTTATTCTTTACATTTTAACTTTTACTAAAAAAACAAAAATTAGCTACCACCTCTGTCTAAAAAAAAAAAATCATATTGCGTTTTAAAGTTTGTATTAAAATTAATACAAATTTGAGAACTCAATATGAATTATCTTTTAGGATTTTATATTAGGAAAATGATATGTACAGTGAAAACAAATAATGCTAAAAAATTGTGATTGATCACTGATGTGGAGTAATTATGGCCTCCATTTTTCGCCATTCTCTTGTTGAAATTTATTTCCCGTTAGATTATTTTTTTACCCTTACTTAATAAATTCACATGTATTATGAGTGTGGTGTAAATTTTTTTTTCATTAATCACTATCTAAATTCACTATATTTTGTCACTATGTATATCGTTCTCTTTATATCATAACTCATAAACGGAAAATAATTAACTTTTGCCGAGTGATAAACGTGAACATCAAATCCACGAGACAAACATGAAATTTAATTGTAGTATACAAGTAGTTTGTAACCCAAAAATAAAAACGTGTACCATAACAGTCTTTTGTCTTGAAATAATTGTTCCCTTTGTATTTTTATTTTTTTTAATTTTAAATTGTATTAAAAATAAAAAATTAAAACTGAAGTATTATTTGAGATAGTGGAAATAGAGTCTTACCACCTCATTAAAACGGTAGATTGTATTTTGTAATAAGATTGCTCTACCACATTATTCAAAAGTTAAAAAATAAATAAATCCACTTCTCATTTTTCAAGAACAGAAGTGGTAAGATCACCAACTAATTTTCAGAAAAGGAACCAACTTTATCCCTTCAAATTCGAGACACAAACAAAAGCCACACAATTAAGGCCCCACGGTCCCAACACGGATGCCAGAGAAATGAAAAAAAAGAAACTTGATTGCCCGCCTCCCTCAATCATATCATATTTAAGGCAACCTTTCTGTCTTCCGAGTTCGATCATTCTTTCACAAAATCATTCATCCTTTAAAACTTTACCCCTTTTCTTCTGTATCCCTTTTCTCCTTTCTTGGTTAAATTTCTATCTGGGGGCATGTTTTGGTTGGGTTTCAGATCAAATATCGGTTACGAGACTCAACCAAACATGTAAATAGAAAAAAAAAAAAAAAAAACCCTCATTTGGGATTTTTGCCGTTTTGATGATTTGGAGAGAGGGGACAAGCCAAAAAATCATGGAATTTGCTAGGATCAGGCAATTGATGCTTCTTTGGTCAAGTATTACAACTACCCGTGTGGCCCTCGTGGGTGGAAACCATACCGCTGCCAGATTTTGCACCCGCTAAGTTCATGTTTCTTTGCTTCCCCTGTTGGCTTTATTCTATCCCCCTTTTCTTCTTTGTTATCTTATAACAATCAGTGATTTGATATCGAAATTCTTGAATTTGGGTGTTTTGCCATACCTGAAACTGAAAAGTTGGCATCTTGACGCATCTGATCGCGTTGGTGAATGTGCATTTGAGGCTTTAGCAAATCGGAAAAGAATTTGCTGAAAAAGATCGCATTTTTATTGATAATGAGCATGGAAATGGCTCAAAAGTTTAGAGCCTTTGATGGGATCAAGGCTCAGGTGCTGAATAGTGGTGGGGTTGGGTTGCATTCCAATACCCTTTTGGTTATTAAGCTGCCTGATTCCCGGGTTTTGCAGATCATTTCGAGATCGCTGTTTTTGGCAATCATTTTGCTCACATTGCCTTCAATTGGTTCTATTCTGAGAGGTTCTTTGAGTCCTGGCTTGGACTCTGATTTGGATAGTTTCAAGACTTTGCCTATTCTGTTTCGTGATTTGGCCGATGAAGGCCTCCTGAGGAAGGGTCATAAGGGCCTGATTGTTAGTTCTAGTCCTGAGATTATTGAGTTCGTGAAAGATCTGGAGTTTCTGAGGGAGAAGGAAAACCACAACAATGTGGTCATCAAAACAAACATTGGGAACAATAACTTGATTATTCCTGATGAGACATTTGATTTTGTTTTCACCCTGAGTTTAAAGAGCACTGAATATGCTGATCGCGTGCTTAAGCACGGTGGCATTGTCATCACACAGTTGAGCAATGATCCTTCAAGAGTCCTACAACGACATCAGAATCACCGCATTGTGTATTTACGACGATTTGATAACACGTTTGTGGCGATGAGGAAAGTTAGCAACAAAGATGGCTTGAGCAATTCTGCTACAAAAGCTACACCTTGTGGGATCACTGGAGAGGATAGGAAACTAGCATTGCAGGGATTAGAGGATGCATTGTTAGAGCCGCCTAGAAGGACATTGCTGAAGTCCCCGGGGAGTGGAATTAGTGAAATGAAATTTCTTCCAGATTTACTCGGGGACTCCTTGAAAAGTTACAAGCGTAGAATATTGATTTCTGATGAGAAAAATGGTGCAGTTGAGGAATGGTTTTACAAAAACTACCCCACCCGGAACCAGTATTTCGAGACGTTCAATCTAGATGTAAATGTTGAAACACAAGGTTCAGAGAAATCATCATTGTCATTGAGAATCAGGTTACCTAAACCAGTTGGTGTTTCAGATTGGTTGAGAAATAATGTGAAGCGGGAAGATTTTGTAGTGATGAAGGCGGAGGCACAAGTGGTTGATGAGATGATAAAGGATAAAACAATCTGCTTGGTGGACGAGTTGTTTTTGGAGTGCAAGAACGAGTTTCAAGATGAAGATCCATCTGAAGCTGGAAATGATGGCAAGAGGGCTTATTGGCAGTGTTTAACTCTGTATGGAGGCTTAAGAGATCAGGGTGTTGCAGTTCATCAATGGTGGAACTGATTTACCATTGCTTCTGCTGATGGCTTCTGATTGATTCATTTGAAGCTTTTGATGTATTCTATGATTAATAATATGATGGCCTCCAAGTTTAGGGGTCATTTTGTTAATGGATTCATAATGTAGTATACTTCTTTTGGAGTCGGTAAGCTCCGATTTGTTTGGCCACTTAGGTTTCCTCTGTTCCTCAGTGTTATTCGTTTGAGATCTGAACAATTCGCTTATTGTTGGGGTTGCAGTATAGTTAAAATTGATGCTGCCTAGTTTGATTTATTGGTACCCTCGCAAATCGCAATGCAAAATAATACCTCCTAAAACCATTTGCCTGATTTACCGCAAAAAAAAAAAAAAACCAAACATTTGCCTGCTTTCTATACTGATAAGGAAAAGAAGAAGAAAGATTAGTTAAATACTTGGATAGAGTTAAAAAGATCAACTCAGATTCAAGCAAAAATTACCATTCTCTTCCTTCATAAACTCTAAGATTCAAGCTTTCTTTTCACACTGAAAACTTGCTCGCCGACCATGCGCCGGCCTCTTGTCGAATCATTTTATAACCAAACTAAATTTTGTAACTGGTCCTTAACCAAGAAAATATAATAGATAGATAAAGGCAATACAAAGAGAAGAAAACCTCGTGGCAAAGAAGCTTATTGCACTTGTATAAATAAGATCAGTTTATGTACTTCCTGATAGCTTTAATATACAATTTCTACAGAATGGGGTCAATATCGGTCCACAGCTGCTGTGAATCCCCCAGGAGAGGAGGCAAAAATGGCTCTCAACGGGAATACTCTAAAACTAAAATCAGAAAATAAAGAAAATCCTAGAACATCCTACCTAAGAATCATGTTGAATACCAGCTTCAGCTTCTAACAAGCCATCACGATTTTCTTCCAACAACTTGTCACAAAGCCACAGGAGCTCGTCAGCAAGAGGAGGAATACCCGGGTTGCGTCCATCATTGTACTTATGGGCATTGAATTTGATCTGCCATACATCATGCCTGAATTCGTCATGACCTTTATACTCCATCTTCCTTACCTTCTCCTTTATCGTGGACAGATCCATGGGTCGCTCAATTATCCGATGGTAGTCAGGAGCTTCCTTCTTGGTGACTGGCTTCACAAAGAGGTACGAAACCTGCGATTCCTTGAGAGCATCCACAACGCGTTCAAGGATATTTGCCAGACCAACCTGAAATGATACTCAAAATAATAAGAACTCAATGCTTACTTCCTTAGTATCCAAGTCAAAATAGGAGGCTGGGTGACCATTGCAGTGGGCAGAAAGAAAGAAAAGAGGGGAAAAAACTGACATTACTGACCCCTTTCACTAATGAGACGCCAGAGAACAAATCTACAAATAAGCAAACAAATTCACCAGCTATGAGAAAACAAGTTTCTCCCACTGTTGTCTCAGGAGTAAAAAATTATATTCAGACGGTAACTGCATTCTAATTAATCCAGAAAACTTCTGTGAGAATCAGATTTTTTGGCTGCCCTTCACCTAATTTTACCCGAAGATGAAGCAAAGGATCTGTGTCTCAATAATTTTGAAGCTAAATAAAACAAACAACCAAAAATGAGATCACGGTGGGAACAGCTACGTAGACAGGGTACTAAAGAACACTGAAAATTCCACATATAAATCACAATGCAATTTTAAAGATAAGGATGAAGTAGATTATGGGTAACAATAACCTCTCCACCACGTCTGCGCTTTGTAGCTGGGCCATAGCCTGCACCGAACCTTCCAACATCAGGCACTGCCCTCTTTTTAGCTGTTCTTTCTGGTATCCTCCAGTCATTCCTTCTAGGAGGATAGTCGTCTAGGGTTTCATGTTTCATCTTCTTCTTCTTCTTCTTCTTCATCTTTTGTGCCTTCTGGCGTTCTTCTTCTTCTCTCTCCAAGCGCATGACCTCTTCATAATTTCTCATCTCAGCTAATCTCTCCTGCTCTTCCATAGCTCTTTGATCATATAACCTCCTAACCCTTTCTTCTCTTTGTCTATCCGCAATCCTCCTTTTCTCTTCCTCTTCCACCCATCTCCTATCCTCCCTGTTCTTCTTGCTTATAGCATGTTCAGAAGATTGTTTGTATTTCTTCTCTCTACGCACATCAAGAGTTGACAATTCCATTAATCTCTTTGTTTTCCTATACTCAAAGCCTATATCTCCTTCCTGACTTAGATCATCTACATTGAAGATCTCCTTAGGTGGTTTGTAAATGTTTTCCTTAGGTTGTTTGATAATAATTTTTCTCCGAGGTTGCTCTTTATCAAACTCTGTAGATGGCCTAAAAACATTGGGAGGCCTGTGAGACTCCCCCAGCTCAAACTCTGTAGATGGTCTAAAAATATTGGGAGGCCTGTGAGAGTCCCCCAGCATAACTTCTGGTTTTGCCTTGTTTGAAAAGGTAATTTTTTTAACAGCTTTACTTCCTGTATCAGCATCTGATGTTGAAGGCTTATCAGAACTGATTGACGTCGCAGGAGTGAGTTTTTCAGCGAGTTTATCAGTTCGGCCACACTTAACTTTCAATATTTTTGCCTTCGGAGTAGATTTGTCATCCTCGGGAGGAGCTTCAACCAAGGCAATTTTTGTGGCGCTTTTCTGTATGATCTTCTTTATCGAAGTTTTCTGCAGGGGTTGATCTACCTGATCTGAAGTATTAAGTTTCCCAGAAGGCCTCTCAGAATCAGCGTTCTCAACCCGTGATGCTTCAAGATCTTCGCCATACTTGGGGCAATTTTTGTTTGTCCTCATATGACCAGACTGATGCATAAAACAAAAAACAAAAAACATTAGTGATTAAGAAGTGAAAATAGCAAATAAAAATATGCGAAAGCACAAACCTGGCCACAAGCTCCACACACAAAACTTTCTCGTGCTGATTTCTTTTCCTTTAAATTCTGCTGGAAGACCAACGAATATGAATAAGTTTAGCGTATAACTTAATGAGAGTCACTTTATAGACTCAAAACCATAGCTGGAGAGAATTGAATACAAAACTTGCATAACTAGGCAATGCAACTCAAACTAGCTGCGGCCGTACACATAAATGGGATACAACCAGCAGTGTGGCACCTCCCTCGTTATGCATACAGGAAGAGGTAACTACAGATACCTTTAAATTATCACCAACAATTATGACTTTCTTGGTGAATAGTTCTGCCGCCTCAATGTCAACTTTCTTCTTCGTTTTCGGCTTGCCAGATAAATCCCTTTTAGCCGAAAGATTGTCCTCCTACAATATGCAAAAACGAGTCCTATAAATATTGATCTTTTGAAATTTATAGCAAGCTCATACACAGCAAGTCACCAGATAGAGATGCAGCTTCAGGGAACTTTAGGAGAACCAAGTAAAATAAGATTTGCAATCAAGTTATTATATGCCATCACGAGATTTCTTTAGGTGGTTGATGGGTGCAGAAGGTTAAACTTCGAAGGAGACAACAGTATTAGATTTGACGACTGTCTGATGTGCAAGTAGTAAGAACCTTAGTGATTTGCGAAGCAAAAGGTTTCTAGGAACTCGAAGAATATTAATTAGCAAGTTGCCAAACCCGGAAGATGCTAGAATTTGAAATTAATAAGATGAGCATGATGAATAAAACAGAGGTATGCACAAAGTTATCTCTCTTCTGCTTCGGGACAGTTGAGAGAAAAGGAGGAAACATTTTAACACAGTGGAGGCAACTATTTAATAAGAGAGTTCAGGTGGATCTGGAAACAGCATTTATCAAAAATAAATCACAAGTATGAATCTGACAGACATTTACTTTTGACATGATGCACTAAGCAGCTATGAGAGCAGATAATTGCTGATATTTACAAGGATATCAGCACAGGTCCTTATAACACAAACAATTTTCTATTCCCATGAAACGCAAAAAGAGTGAGAACGAGATAGGGAAGATGACAGAAAGTGGACAACAGGGAGGGAGTTTACCTCTTTCTGATCCCTACCAACATTCTCCATTGACTGAGGTAGTGAATTTGGTTGCTTGTTTCGCTTGATGACGTTTTTCACTTTCTGTACTCGTTCAACATGATTAGGACCAAGTTGTTCCCCTACAACTATAACCTTCTTCTTCTTCTTCTTCTTCCGATCATCTTCATCATCTGCATGAGAACTTTCATGATCAGTGCTAACCAGAACTAAGGTTTGCTATTCAACATGATTAGATAAGTTACAGACTGAATCTATGCACAATTTCATCATTCAGAACAAACTACAGGGGATATCTTAAAGCTAAAATTGTGCATGCTACTCAAATGTCTTAAGATCATCAAAAACATAATCACGCTAAATTAGAGAAAGTTCAAACATGTCTATGAACTCCATCAATTATCCAACAAATTCTCGTCACTCGTGTTAACTACTGCATACTTAATGAAAATTTTCACTACCTAATATTGCACATAGAAAATGTTAAATCAATGGAGAATATATGTATATAACTTTCTCCACAGAATCACATATTTGGGGGAGATGTCCAGTGAAGATTGTTCACAAAATTAGATAAAAAAGTAAAGTAGGTTGCCATCAGAGTTATTATTTGTCATCTCATCACTGAATACTTCCACATCTACAGTAAAAAAATTTCTACAAGGAAAACTATAACTGAAAAATCAGTAGATTGGCATACCATCCATAAGCATTCGGCATAACTCTGCTGCCTCAGCAGCCTCATCTTCAATATCCTCTTCGGCACGAGCTTGAAATGGGCGCCTTCTCATTTTAAGCCCTTTGACTCCGTCAACAGTATCATGCTTGGAAACGTTATTACCCACATCACCATCTTCATATTCTTCAGCATCCAGAAGATTTTCAAGATCTCCAGCAAAAGAATCCAGGTCGCTATTGGCCTCAGAGTCACTTTCATTTTCTTCACCATCAACAGCAGACAGACTAAGCACTTGTCGGTCCCAAATTTCTTGACACTTCTCCCGAGTTTGCTGCTGCAGCTGCATAAAAGACATCCGCTGCCCACGAGCATACTTGCTGATAGTTGTTTGATCTACCTTCACCCCGGAGGCAGCTTGCTCACTTGAAAGCTTGCGAATCATGGCAATGCGATGCCACCTGGTCTGCTTATCTATTTGTTCATCCGGAACATTGAATTTGAGAAGAACCTAGAATATAGAATGATAATTTTCTATATCAAGAACACACCTTTTAACACACAATTCTTGGAAAAGACAGCATTTACATGCAATTCTTGTGAGTTGTGATTATAGAGCTGCATGTATGTATTTATGCACTCGTTTTCCAATATGAAGCAGAAAATTACAAAACTTACATATCCAAAAAGGAGAAAAGAAAATTAAAAAACAGAATCCCTAGGTGCTCCAGAAATTTATTGCAGAGGAGCTCCAATCTAAGATAACTCTTTCCAACTGGTAAAGCAATGTGCCTTATACGTTCTTGCAAGCTAGAGAAAGGAATCCATAAAAGATATGAAGACAAACAAAAGAAAAGAAGAAAAAAAATGGGAAGCATCATCCTTTTAAAGACCAATCTCTAAATCAAATAACGCAGAAGCATTTCTGGAAGAATTGTTGTAAGAACAACACACCTCTCGTGCTGCTTCCATGCTCAACCTACGTAGATCAGCATCAGTACCGGTCACTGTCGTACCTTTACCAATAACTGCTTTTTTCTTCACTACAGCATTTGACATTGGAGCTTTTGGAGTATTACGAACAAAACTAAAACCAAGTCCACGCCCAGATGGATCACCAACGCCAGTGATCTCCAAGCGCTCAATGTTTTCCCTGTCCTGCATCATACAGCAGACATCAGAGAAATGGAAATGATGTATGCAGCAATATCGATGCACATATGAAAACAGTGACTGATATAGCAATGCTGCAGCTTAAAAATTAGCGGTGGAACAAAAACCATTCACTTCACTCTGCACAGACTAAAGATGAAAGAAGTGGGTGGATATCCTCACCTGACTAGTACAGGCAACAAAGTTACTACTCAAGTTCCATGGTGTAATCTGCAGTTCCCTCTCAATATGAGATGCAGCAGCTAAAGCAATTGCTTCATCTGGAAGCTGATTCATTGCAGATGAGAGGCCCGCTGGTGAAGTTAACCTGGTAATGCCCAACCTTTTAAGCCTGTACAAGCCAGCTTGCATGCTTTCATAGGCACATACCTAAGTTCAAGAAGGCAGACACCATTAACACCAAAATGGTAACATGCACATGATTCTGCATATACAAACTTAATAGAGAAAACAATTCGCTTCTTCCTTAACCAAATGATGCCCTTTCAGTTGTATGGTAAATGTTTGAATCGTGTTTGCTTTAAAAGAAAAAGTCATTGGTAAAAGGAAGACATCCCTCAAATCAAGAAAAGAATATATTTCTTCTGCTATGGCCTTCCAGCTAGTCTACGTCGTAACCTACAGGAAGTTGACGAGTACAGTGGACGAATTTATTGATTATTTCCTTTTTAACGGATAAAAAAGTAAGCATCAAATCCAATAGAAAGATATTTCGGCTTTTTACAAACCCAAAGTCACAAAAAACCATGCAAATTTCTTTGAATTAACCCACATAGCAATTCATTAATTTCTGGCTCAATCTTAATACAATAAATAAACAAGGATAACCTTATTAACACAAAACCCCTGACCTGCACCTATAGCCACTTAATAAAAATTTACTCAAATTAATATGTTCAAATCTCCATCCAAGTTTTACGACATCAATGTGAAAGGAATATTTCTACCCAAATAGAACTTACATTTTCCGGGGTCACCATCCTTCTCAATTCCTCCTCCAAAGGAATGCGAAAATTGCGTCTCATCATCCAAAAAAGCTGTCCATTTGGACCTCTCTGTCAAATTGCGGAACATTATTTAAACTCCAAGAAAAACAAGAGAGAGAGAGAGAGAGAGAGAGAGAGAGAGGTAGAAGATTGATGACGTTTGGAACAATTTGCATTTTCATACGAGATAATTCAGACAGCAGTATACTTAATAAAACTACCAATTGCAGAGAGCAGGTGAGAGCAGTATAAAAATACCAATCGCAGAGAGCAGGTGGGTTTTCCAATACCAAAAGGAGCAAAACTAACAATGAGGCAAATGATTGAATCTGATGGATGTCATCCTCCCAAAGGTCTAACGTACACAAAGAAAAAAGACACTGATCATTATTTCCTAAGATCCCATTCTCAGTCTATACAAGAGAAACAAAAACCAATTTTCCCGCAGTTGGCCACAAAAACATGCTCAATTAGTTAAATTCCACAATCTCCCAGACGCTGATCACCTAAATGATTGCTTAAATCTGGTAAAGAAAATATCTTGAAAATCTGACAACCAGGACCAAGGACAAGTCAGTTGATGAATTCAAAACCGAAATGTTCTCAGACTATCAATCAACACATATCTGATTATCAAAATAGCGCATTATCCTGGGTCACAAAAGCTTAGCGAGCAAATAACAACTACAGCCATATCTCTGCCATCTAAGCAGCTCAAAATAATACCTGCAGATCGGCACAATGTTTTAGTCGTTTCCGTAGAAAAGCTTCCGTCAGGCTTGGAAAATGCGCTGATAACTCATCGGCCCGGATAGAAGGCCTTGAGACACGCTTCCCAGCAGCTACAAACTCACGATACATATACACTAACAACCTGTTCATAATATATGTCTGAACAGCTTTTGATCCCGGAGACATCACCTCCATATGAGGCTCCTACACAAAATTGAATAGCAATGGAATGAATAAAAGATTGATCAATCAATTGTGATTGGAGGTCAGCAACACTTTATGCGGGAGTACAGAATCTAAAAGTGTAAGTGCTATTAGTGGTGTCAAATGTATTAGCAACTAAGAAGTATCCGTCCTCAAAATTAGCCAGCTTGAGAAAGCAAGCTTGGAAAAAAGGATGCCGCAGCACAATTTCCTAGATAAGGTAACTTAGCAGCCTCAAGCAAACAGTAAATAGTGGGCATAAAAGCTGACTAAAAGTGGACAAATGTGATGAAAAACCGAGTCTTGAACATTAGCTTGGCTTTTCAAGACAAGCAGCACACAAGAAATAGTCACAGGATTAGGACAGACAATAACTTCATCTTTACCTGTTGTCCAACAACATTAATCCTGTCTATCCGTCTTATTGAAAGTTTCCCCTTCGCAGTTCGGACCAATAAATAATCAGTTGACGAAACCTTATGCTGATAAATTGGTGCTCTATACATGTTAGTCTCAAGAGATGACTGGATGCAACCAGGTTTTATGTCCCCAAGGAAAGGGGACTTGTCAGCAGGATCCAGAACTATAACACTCCCCAAGCCATTGTTTCCATTGCGCATTAAATTTCCTGTTTGATCGCTCGGATTTGACTTTTGGTAGTAAGTGCACAATCTAGCACCCATTCCAGCATTTCCCAGAAGTAAAGGTCTTTCCTCACAATACCTGCAAAACAAAAGCACAATATAAAAGGCTATTACTGTGATGTTATTTCCACTAAAATGTTGCAGTTTGAGCATAGGGCCTTAACCATCAAGTTAACAGAGAAGAAGCATGAAATAAATTTAAAAAACAGAGATGTGCAGATAAATCGATGTCACAGTAATGAACCCGAATTTAAAACATTAAATTCAGTAAACAACGGCATACACGTTGCAGTAAGATCGGCAACAGATACATCGTGTTCTCTGGAATCAATAGACTCTTTCCACCCATCAAAAACCAGGGTGCTTGTAAAGAAAAGTAATAGCCGAAGTTAATTCAAAACATGCTTCCAAATCATGCGCTTAGGCAAAAGGTGTTGGGAAAACGCAAAAACCAAGTAACCAAAATGTTCCCGACAACATAAGTACTCCCAATGCTTGAGGAATCCAATTCGCTACTCTTAAGGGCTAGACTTAAAGATCAGAGAAATTCTTTCAACCAGAGCTTTTATGATGAAGTTAGATAAAAGAAACAACAGATATCGAGAAGAGGTAAAAATCAATCTTTAAACTGACATCAATTGGTCTACTCTTTCAAATCAAGAATGTTCACTAGCGATGATGATTACAAAGTGTGGACTTACTCCATCAAGAAGACATGACCATCCTTTACTGACAGATCAGACTTCTTCTTAAAAGCCCCAGGAGGACGCAGAGACTTGTTCTCACCAGGAAGTTTCTGGGCCCGTGGCAGTAAATGTAACTTGGTACGAACAAGATGCAGCAAGGAATTTGGTCGGACACTTTGCGCAGCAAGAGTTTTATCATCTTCTAACTCGGCTCCCGAATAAAATATTTTCACAGGCTCCGACAGTTTAAAATCTGGATGAGATGATAAAAGATATCAAACATTAATTTGACTTGCTTGAACAACAGGGCCAAAAGTAGTCAAATCAAATAAGACCCATCAGACCTAGCTTCTTTGAAGCTTTTGCTTTAACTGAGGACACCATTTCTTCAGCATCGACATGAAGTTTACATCCTTTGCCTCCTAAACTCCTCAAGATAATCTTCATAGGCCCCAGCGTGGGCAGCTTCTCCTGTTCCTTCAGCACTGCCTCATTATCATGAGGATACCATAAAGCCTTTGGGCGATGAAAATTGGCAATATCTTTACTGCATCAAAAATGACCATCAGCATGTAAGCACACATTAGAAAAGATTAAAGAAGAACAAAGATCCAAGTCTTTACTTGATCAAACAAAGTTAACAAACTATAAACTGGACACCAAAAGAATAGGTATACGTGGAGATAAAATAAGATAAGATGACAAACAATAGGTAACTGGGAAAACGCATGCTTAACAAACAAAAATTGAAGTGACTCAAAGCTAATAAGGAATACTAGCATGTGGCCAAACCAACTGATGAAACATTAAAAGCTGGCTTCACTACCGATCCAAGTTCCACAATGGACATAAAAACATAAACTGCAAATGGATAGCACACCCACGTTGCTACAGAATTCTTACTTGCTCAGCTTAGGTTTCATCGTCTGCAACTTGAGAGCAGGGATCGAATGAAAAACTTTGAGACCATGAGCTGCACGTTTCTTCACGTGTGATTTAAGCTGCTGAGAAGATTTGCGATTTGAGTAGAATTTATCATTGGAAATATTGAACCGTACACCAGAAGGACCACCATGGCCAGGTTGCTCAAGCAAATCCCCACTGCTGGCCTTAACTGATCGGGTTATGATCATAGCACCAGCATGAAGCCTCAAGTGCTTACCATCCTTGTTATCTTGAATTTCAAAAAGCATTTGCTCATCTTGGAAATCAAATATTAATTTTCTATCTGAAATAGCCTGATCAGGGTCCCAGATTATATTGTCCAGCCAAGATCCCTCCAGTAAATCTCTGTTCTGCAACATAACCCGGTTAAACTGTCGCCTGGAGTAATTTCGAAGGTTATCTTCTGAGACACCATTTTTGCCCTCGGCAATGCTTGGATTATCTTCACTGCTTCGAGATTCCAACCTCAATTGTTGCGGGTGAAATGTTCTCAGTGAGCCTGGCAACTCCGGTGAATCAGAAAGACTTCCAGAGCCAAAAGGCTCCACTGAAATGCAGAAATCAAACTGAATAGAAGGTTCATCAATTTCAGAATGTTCTGTTTCCAAATTCGACATCAAAGATTTTGGCTCACTCTTAAGACTATTGTGGTGAGAACCTGATTCATCCGAATCAGATCCCGACATCTCACAACTCTCAGCAATGCTGCAAACATTTGCTGGTGAATTATCCCAAATAATACTATCCTCCCAGTTCTGTTGATCAAGAAGATAGAACTCCCGACGAAAAGGCAAGTTCCAATCTGCTGGAATCAATGGTTGCAGATTTTCTCCAAATGGCTCAGAACTCCGACAAGAATCTGTTCTTTCCTCCTCAATTTCCCCACTAACCTGCATACTCCCAAACTGCCTTGAACCCAAGTAATCATCATTAATAGGTGCTGGAACATAATCTTGAATCACTTGTGGCACTCTGACATCACCAACATTTAGGCAAGATTCTTTCAAGAATGCCTCCTCATCTTCTTCAACAATCTCTTCTGTGATTGAAATCTTGAGTTTTTCTGAGGGGAAAAAAGAATTTTAAAGAAAGAAGCCCGGTCACATGCATGTTTTGAAAGGGGATTCTTAGGTAAAGTAGAATTACAGATGCATCGCAATTTGCATTAAAAAAATATATAAACAAAATATTGTTTTTACATAAAAATTGAATTGATGCAAGACTTAAAAGGAAGTCGAAGTGGAAACCCATAGAAAACATGCAGGAAAGAACATAAACAGATTCTCTTTGCCCCCTCAGACGTGCAACAGAACCATTCAGATATTAAACAAGATACCTCTAGGAACATGGTACTTGCGATCCTTCTTCCCAGTCTTCTTCAACGGCTTGTAGAGACCGAATATTTCAGAAAAACGCAGAATATCCACCCCATCTTCCCGATGAATAACTGGTAGTGCCGTTGTATTACTGTCAAAAGAGACCTTTCCCATGGTCTCCAAAAGCTCCTAAATGATCATAGCATTAATCACGACAGCATACATTATTCGGGAATTCACACCACGAAAGAGAGAAATAGTCTCTTCAGTGCTCACAATTCCTTTTTTTTTAAAGGTTAAAATTTGCTCGGGATTCTATGTACTTAATAGAAAAACTCAGGCAAAATGCTAAATTCAAATCACTTTATTCAGGCACCAACCGAAACCAAACAAAGCAGGCACAAACATTGAGACAGCCACCCGCACATCAACTAACCCACATCGAAAAAAAGTGTCCAACAAACAAACAAAATCTCTCACACAACTCAAGCCAAGATCAAATTGCCAGTATATGTGTGAAAATTCAGTAGTTTAGTATCTCATAGATTTGATACATTAAAAAGTCAACTTCAAATAAAATTTAAAAAAAAAAAAAAAAAAAACTCACATCACTTCACCAAAACTTTTAATCCGACAGAGACTGATGCAACCAACAGGAGCTTACAGTTCCTCAGAAAAGAAAGACTTCAAAAGCGTACAAAGTAGAAAATCATCAAACTAAACCATCCACTAGATGGTGAAGGCAAAAAAAACTGGGTTCAAATGACAGCTGGGGAAAAACTACGAGACCTGTTTTTTGCCTAATGGAAAGAAAAAGGAAAATAAGATCATGAATGCAGGAACAAGTAACACTTAAAATGCTAACCTCCTCAGATTCCAGTTCATCATGAAATGCATCTCCTGCTACAACTTCTTCATCAATCTTCTTTCCTTGGACATCACCTGTCAAAATAATTAAACCAATTAGAAATAAGGTGCAAAATGTGTGTCTCTGTGCGTGTGCGTGCGCGCGGGTCGCAAGGGTGGGTTGTGGGGGGTGGGGGAGAGCCATTTACAGATGCCAGATCAACATTATTGTTATCATTACAATTCATAAAGGTACAAGAGCAATGAGTTGCAGTTAAACCTGATGAAACGACTGGTTTCACTTCAGCAGAGGGCGCAGCCACCTCATCCTTCTGCTCTAAATCTTCATCCTCATCATAATTTTCATCATCATATAAAGAATTATTATTCCCAAAACTACTGATTGTTATATCCTTGGAAAAATATTCCTTTCTTGGCAGCAGAAAGTCCTCCTCAGTTGTTGCTTGGACCTCTGGTCCTTCATACTGCTCCTCAATATCTTCATAATCGACAGCATCTTCTGCCTTCTCATCGTAATCTAGTCACCAGCCGGCAAAAAATTTCAGTCAGTGAAAACTGAAATCCATCTTACCAGCGACTTGGGTGGAGGCAATTTAATCCATTTCTCAGTTTTTTTTTCCTAATCCATCTAGAGTAATTTCAAACCGTATATTGACTCGTGCATAAAACCATATTTAAGACCAGTTAACATAAACTATCACATGCATCCAAGTGACCAGAATTTAGAGGATGAAACTTATTCTAAAAAGTAGGTTTGTAAAAAGTTCTGTCTCTGTCAACAAACTGGAATAACTTATTGACTTTCTTTTCTGTGTTTCTCATAGGTGGCAGGCCACACAGAATGGTCCAAGCTGGGTTAAGAAAAAGGAGAATGTTTGGAGTGTTACATTTCCACAAGGGATCCAATATTTCCATTACGTTTCCTTGGACACTAAAATTGCACATACTACATGCTATAGACAAGAAACTGAAACTATAAATAGATATCTCCCTCTGGCAGATTATCACCTTGCTCAGCAGCATCAAAAGGTGTTTGTGGCGTTTTCACTGACAGCTGAAACTCAGAAAACATAAATTCCAGAACCATTAAAAGAATGCCTAGTACACAGTACAATCTTGGGATATAGAAACAGTAGGCTTAAAAACATACTTCTATATCTGTCAAGGCAGGGCCAAGCTTATCTGCAACTGCCGCAAGATGTTCCTTTGCTTCCTGAAAAACCCAATCAAAGATGTCATAAAAATAAAAATAAAAAAGAGAAAAACAATCAACTCTCTATTCAAAATTTATCTGAAGTATTTCATACAGACATGCCATGCAAATTCCTAAAGCTTGCAGGTTTTAGATAGATTACAGCACTTTTAAGCAATAGAAAAATCGTCCCACAAATCTTGCTATAAGTAACTCACATTTTTGTTGGACATTATACAAATCTTCAACTTGCATGAAGTTCATTAATCATTATGGTCATTTGATAATTAGTTCCAGTAGTAGTCAAAACACAATCAACGGCTGAAGAGATAATGCCAGAGTTCCTTTTGAAGAACACAAAATACTTCTCGGAAAATTCAACTCAACTTATATGGCATTCACTCACTGGTTAAAATTTAATAACGTAATTGTTATAACCACATCAACAATCAAGGGTGAATGCCATGTGGAGTCGAATACAAAAGTGAGATCAACGTTTAAAGATGTGTATCATTATTCTTCTTTATCAATATGAACCAAACAGCTGGGAAAAAAAGTTAACACTAATAAAGCAACATAGGGTAAATATTCCATATAGATATCCTTTCCTTATGGATTTTCAGATACCCAGATCCAAAATATAAACGAGACCAAAAATATGAGAAGTAACACAATGCACTCATCACCAAAAAAAAATTACCTCATCAAGATAATCAACGTCGAGATCACCAGAGTTGTCTACATTTCCAAACATGAAACCCAAAAGACGGTTAGGCCCAACCGCCTCCTCATACTCATCATCTTCTTCTGTCAAATCCATTATATAGGGTGTTAAACAGGACGACTTACAGAAAGAAATCAGTGCGCAAATGCAATCAGCAGATCACTATAAATATAAAATCGATCAGAGCAGAAAATATTCGATTCACAAAGGAAAATCAAACCTACTTAAATTATGTCCATGTACACCGTCAGTTAGCACATCTTAAACATTTTGTTTCCACTCTTCAGCCACACCACCCAATTCAAAAATAAATAAATAAATAAAATAAAATTTTTTAAAAAAAAAAAAACAACAACAACTAACAGATAGTGCTTCTTCCTCCAGTCAAGCTCAATAACAATAATGACATGACCACTCTTCTTCTAGAAGTACCACAGCATTTAAACTGCTGCTTGGCCTGCAACCCTTTCTCAGTGATAAAAAAAACTCGATTATCACCGAGCTAGTAGCCTCTTCAATTAGAAAACTCGAAAACATCCTTATGGTATTGAACTCTAACGTCATTAGAGCTAAATATGATGCTAACAGACTTATAAAAGACTTCTTCCCAACAACATTACTCCTACCATGAGCTATTTATTATTAATGAGGCAATTTCGTCGCACCAATCAGCAAGATGTGTAAGAAAAATGCTTGCCACAGAAGTACATATGTACAAGAGCCAAAACCAGAAAGAAACAGCCTCATAATGACACACAGAACCTCTTAAAGATAACAGTGTAGCATGATGGAACCAGAAAACTATAGATCTCTTCTAGGTGCGTCCAAAGAACAAATATGGTCACAAGAATGAAAGATTGTGTGCTTTGGCTGCAAATTCAACTCTAATCAAATCTAAAAGGCCGAACTCAAAATAACTACTGGTAAAAGAATAATAGCAGAGTAAGTTTGCAAAAGTTAGATGCTTTAAACAGCATAGTTCCTTAACCTACTTTCCTTGAACAAGAATCTATACACAACTGAGTCTAAAATTCTTGGAATGTGTTACATGAACCTCTTCTACGACTCTACTCCATTAAGGCATCATCTACAATCACCAAACTGTTATGGTCAACAATCTATACCGAATCAACTAAATCTCACAAATGTAAAGTCTAGGCTTCTCAAATTATGATTAACTTTAACAAATTCCCTTAGTAGTAGGCTCCTCCAACAAAATTGCAAATAAATGAAAAAAAAATCTTCCAACTATTAAACCCCCTTTGCTCAAACAATCAGCACGTACATCCCCAAATCAATACGGAAAGTACAATTCACTCTCGCAACATGACAAGATTTAAAAAGGGCAGCAACTTCCTGAAAACCAAACAAACAAGAAAAGAAGACAAAATTACCGTCTTCACGGTCATCAGGGTCATCATAGGATGTGCCACCAGCCTCGATGCCCATTTCAAATTGGGAACAATCTGCCCTTCCAAATCCACTAGTAATTTGATATGGGTATAAGAAATATCACAACCTTGAACCGCCGGGAATTCCTTCCACAACCCACAAAGAAAAGGCCCTCCGGAGGATCAAACTAAAACACTCCCCGTCCAAAGTATTAATGGTTAAAGGGTCCGCAAAACCAAATGAAAACTGAAAAGAGGGACAAATGGAAATTGAAGTGCTCACTTGGCGATTTGTCTTGTGGAAGAACAGGATTTGGAGAGCGAATAGGGGAGGGAACATGAACCTTTTTATAGGGGAAATTTTTATTTGTTTGGTGCTGTGAACTTTGAGAGGAAGTGGAAAATTAAAATAAAAATAAAAATAAAATAGCAAAAGGCGGTTTCGAAGTCCGACCCGATAAAGAGCAATTAGGATTAGGGCTATTTCGTAAATGCATTTATTATTTTCTTTTAATTAAAAACTTTATAATACTCTTAAAAACATTCAAATATCAAAATATTCTATAATAAATTCTAATAAAGATACATTTCAATTCTTTATTATGACTTTTTAACCACTTTATTATGAATTATTCCCTCTAGTCCTAATATAATCACAAATTTCAACTAACTTTAGTATTAATTTGTGTATTATAATTAGGATCGAAAAAATATTAAAAGGACAAATAAAAATTATCATCATCACTTGTGAGCCATCTGACAAGTTCACTGAACTATATTCCTTATCCTTATATAAAATCATATAGTATATACTGAAAATAAATAATAAAATGAGATAGTAATTGATGTAACATTATCTATTTATTTACTTAACCGTTTCTTATCTCGGTGTCAATTGCCTTAGTTTACAAGTCTTAATTTTGGTCCTGACCGGTTTCGATACCATCTTGTTTCTGTTTTGATTTTGCCCCATGGGGACTTCAACACATTCTACCAATTTTGGCTCATATGGGATTCAACAACAGTTGCTCCAGCGCTAGACAGGTTTCCACAAGTCTAAAATAGAATAGAGCAGCCTACATTAGACAGCTATTTAGTGAATGGCTTCAAAACTTAATTAAGATGTGCAAATTCAGGAAGTTACAGTGGATGTATCTCCAAAACAAAACTGCCTCTAGCTCGATACAGCAACCATTATCTATTTTCAATGCATGAGGTATTTGCAACCGGGGTTGCTTTACAAATAGTTTCGCGCGATCCAATTTAAATAATGAAATAGGGTATTAACTAATGTAACACTTATGTATTTACTTAACCGTCTTCATCAGGATCACGGAGGAGATAATCAGGGTCAGAAAGAGCATAAACCTTGTCAACCAGTGAATAAGTTAATTATCCAATTAGTCCTTCATGTCTTCTGAAAACTCTGTCCTTGATTGAATCGGCTTGTTGATCAAGATGTGACAGGAATAGGTTGTCATTATGTTTACCTGTGCATTATAGATCTCTTATTATGGCATTAGGTAAAAATATCACTGTCACATTAGTTTGATCTTCTCTCTTCTGCAGTCAACCGGTACGGATCAGATCCGATGCTTCGATCTTAAAACCCCTCTTAATTTTCAGGGGACGAAGAATTGAAACTCTCTCAATCCCTTTAGTTCCTTCATTGGTTCGTGCTTCCTGAGATGTTTTGGTCCAGTTTCTTTCCGCTAATCCTTGGATAACCGATTTCTATTCATTTTCTTTCCTGATTGAAGCCTTTTCCGGAGGCAGATTGCAGAAGAACTATGCTGATGAACAAAGAGATCGTTTTTATCGTATTTCAAGACTTATTTCCAGAATTGAAGAATCTTGGTTTGGTTAGTGTTGGAAAAGAGGGCAACCCTTATTTTGGCAGAAGGGAAAATTTTTTGTGGGTGGATTTGTTAATGGTGGTAATTCCCTAATGCATAAGAAGCTTAAGTGATTGCTGATGATGCGTTCTCAATTTCTCATTGTTCCTCAGAGAAGAAATTGGTAAAGTTGAGCTTTTATATAGTAAGCTGGTTTCTTTTTTATCCAGATGTCTGCAAAAGGAGAATTCTTTACATTAACTACAAAGGAAGGGAGATTGACAGTAGGGAGGGATAATTTGATGACTCGAAAGAGAGTGCTTTTGCCCAGTTTGGAGTTTAATCAATCACTGGAGGGATATTGAAGATTGTTGTAGGAGCAGGGCACTCTGGTATAGTTCCTTCGGGTTCGCCTAATGCAATATTTTCATAGCTTATTAGTTGCATCTGGTTTTTTTTCCAATTATCTGGAATAGGATCCTTTTCTACTGGCACTCTTAAAAATAAATTGAATGATTCATGCGAATAGGCACACTGAGATTTGGAGTTCTTAGAGTAGAGTTGCTGAAAGGTGTTGTTTTAGTTTATTAAGTCGGCCTATTTTTCTGGGAAAATGAAAGCTTTGATGGAAATCCTTAGCTTCAGAATGTTGTCTCATATGAATAATGTTGTCTCATTCTCGCACGAATATGGCATGTTTTGCAGTAACTTATGCCAGAGGGTTTGTCGCGTCGCGATTTATTGATTCACCATATTGATATGATATTTGGCCTTTCCCTGATTTCATAGGTGTGATATTGTTGAGAAAATAGAAGAACCATCAACAATTTATGATTTGATTAGGACGTAAAACTTAAGTACAAACTCACAGATGATAATAAAACAGAGAACTACAATGCTTCTGAAAGATACAGAAGCAACATAGACATAATTGCATCATAGAAACTAAGTCCATTGCAATGGAACTTAATCATCACACGCTGAGCCATATATAATCAGCATTCACCACACCCGATGAAGCCCTTTTTTCGGCAAAATGAAATCGCATAATAGTGACCAACAAATTTCTTCAAGGGCTAGTAGCTTTTTTAGCAGCAGTACTTGCTGGAGTAACTGGAGGTGAAAACACTGGAGTTGGGAAATATGGAACAGTTGGGGTTATTGGAGGAAATGTAGGCAAAGTAGGAGTAGCTGGTGTTGGGTAAAATGGTGGGAATTTAAAACTTGGGAACTTTTTAGGGATCTTAGGGATCGGAAGAATCAGGAGGCGACGGGAGGCAAAGGATTCGGCGTCAATGCCTGAAAATGTACCTACAACCAGTAGGAGGAGGACGCCCATAAGCAACTTGTTAGAACCCATTTTTTTATATGTATTGAATGTAGAGAAAAATGAGTTACAAATTTGTTTGTTTTTGTGTTTGCTGCTGAGAAACTTGGTTAGAATCTAGTTCTGTTTATATAGGCATTTTGGACAGTTGGGATACTAAGAAAAAGGAGTGGCAACAAATTAAAGCTTCTCCAAGCAAATGGGTTGCGATTAAATGCCGTCGATGTGGTTGATGGTTAGAGAAGTGTTTTTTGGGGTCTTTAAAGGAAGAAATCCGTCCAAAAGATTAATAATATTGATTTGTTTTACTGTATCTGTACTGATGAGACTGATGAAACTTTCGGTGCTGAAAGCTGTGAATTTAATGTATATGTGTTTTCCTTAATCGGGCTTAAAGTTTAGTGTTTAAGCAAACAGTCATCTCCTCCGACATATGGCTGCCGTTCAGAATTTGTCTTGGAAACATTCTCCGTAATCTGGACCACCGAAAGTTAATGTTATCAGTACAACTTTTCCATACCTCAAACTGTTAGCTCCTCAGAAAATGAATCAAATTCCGGTGTGCACGAACGAATAATTGTTATAAGACCGATGTCCCTGAATCGAAAGAGATTCATGTTGTTCGAATTGACATTAGTGTGAGCGTGATATGTGACTCTTGCGAATGGCAAAAATATGAGCAAAAACCAATTGGCCTAATTAGTGCTGAAGGGGAGGAAACAGGCATTACAATTTCCAGACAGAAGAACATTAATTGACTAATTCCTTGGCCTTAAACATTAATGTTGGCTGGCTTATATGATTATTGGTGTAGATTGTATAAGTTACACCCTTAATTCATTTCTACGATGAAAACAACACACATTCATAAGTGGAGTTATTTCTTTAATTGGACCACACAATTTCAATAAAGTTGATGATGAAATGCATCAGTTTTAAGCAATTTGGTTGGAGTTAAAGATCATCCATCTATGTAGCACCGGCACACTGCATCAAGTAGCGGTAGTAGTTAGGCTAGCTGCATATGCATGTCCATCAATGCTGCGTTAAAATTTGCAAAGCCTTATTTCTAGCCTGATTATGGTGATTATTTCTCAATTAAGGACTAGTCGATCATATGGCAAATTTCACATTAAAATATTCTATACATATCAATTGTTGCCACTTGGTAAGCAATGATATAATTTGAGAGATTAGTAAAGAGTTTAGATATATTCAGTAATCAGAATATTTGTTGCACTAAATAAAATGATGCCGGGCACATATTAGAGCAAAAATGTAAATTTTTTGGGAAAAAAAACTTGAGTGACAACTAACAACATATATGGAGTGTCATGACACATTACATTGGTTTTTATTGGTCTCGGTCTGCTGCATTACAAATACAAGTATAGCAAATGTAACAATCATTGAAGTGCTAAGAGCATTTCCAACTAAGATACAAAAACACTAAATTGATGTAAAGTTTTCACTCCAACAAACACACTAAATCACTACACTATTTGGTGTAAATTGTCCATTCCATCATTTTTAGTGCACTATCTTTTTGCTTAGATCTAAAGATATACTCCCTCCGTCCCATAATTATTGTCTACTTTGCACAAAAAATTTTGTCCCAAAATTATTGTCCAATTTGACTTTTTATGGATCAAGTTGCACATTTGTCCTTAGTAAAAAATATTATCCATAAAATCTTAGTGGTTGAAGAATTACTTATGTAGGGGTATATCTGGTTGTTTAAGGTAAAATATAGTTAAGTTTGACCAAAAATAAAATCTTTCATTTTAGTAAAACTAGACAATAATTATGGGACGGAGGGAGTATTTGCTATGCAATTAAACTTGTAAAATAATTATAAAAATTATATCAGATTAAATATTTTATTGAGATCTACAA